TATTATACACAGAAGTGTAAGTTCCTTTCAACAAACTTGGATTATTGCCAGATCTCCTTATTAAAAAGTCACTCTTCATATTTCCGATAAACACAGCTGTTTCATGGTGTTTGAAAGCATTTCACATCAGCCAGCATGGTGGCTTAGCCAATTAGTCCTCTAATATGGTCAATTTTGAGAATAAGTACCTTTGGGGTACAAAGGGTGGGATCCATCTCGCATAATTTGAACTGGCATCACTGGAATGGCAGCAGGAACTTTGCAGCACACAGGGAGTTAAAGCAACTTAGAAGCCTGACGTGGAAGCTGCTAGCAGAACAAACTGTTCTCTAGCATTTCCAGGGAAATGACTTTTCAGAAAATACTTTCTTAATTGTAATGAAGCCAATTATAATGGCCTCAAAAACAAGCGGATAAAAAACGATCCCGTTTCATTATGGTTCTAGTGTTACTATTTCTAGGAAGGCTGATCAATGTTTAATGAAGTATTAGTAAACTTAATTATCACTTTCTAGAGGAGGTATCTGAGCACTGTGCCCTGCTCCAGCTGATGGGCCAGCCCTTGTGCCTGTGAGGGAGCAGTGGTTGTGATTCCCAGCACTTCTCCCTGGAGCAGTCTGGGGTGATAACACCTTCTCCCGAGCAGCACCAAACCACCCTTTCAAAGACTTCAAACGATTTCAGGAAGAAAGGAATTCCATCCAGTGCTGTGGACTTGAAGGGGCTGGCAGGGCTTTTTTTGGAAGAGGAGATGGAAGGTGGATGGATCAATATGTGGCCCCATATGCTGGGCTGTGCTGGTGGAAAACCTGTCTGAGCACTGTAGGTGTCCCTTCACCATGTCAGCAGGCACTCCTCGGGAGCAAGGATCCCAGGGCTCTTTATTAGGAACCACTCCTTTGTTCCAGGATCCTAAATAGCTGAAGAAAACTGTGACCTGTTTCAAATTAACTGATCCTTTATTGTCTCATCACTCGCTCGGACAGAATTCACAATTTTGGCTCTTCTTCAGAGCCTCGGCCCCGTGCAGCGCTCACCTAATCAATGGGTGCAGCTTATTGTATTGGTTACTTGGTTATTGGCCACCACAAATCAAGAAGGGGAAAGGAAAGGCAAGACAGAGCTGCATAATCAGAATTCAGCATTCTGAAAAATCCTGTGACTTCTGTGCTGCACAGCACCCTGAGCTCATAAAACACTGAGGAATCCAGTGTAGCACGCAACAGCTGTACTGCATAATTACTTGGCCCAATAGCAGCAGTTTTAAAATACTGGTATATCTGTTGCAGGCCACCATACATTACCATCTCATTTTCAATAAAAAGTCTGGGATGTTTCAGACCAGCTTCAATGGAATTAGAATCATGTGTGCTTTGAAATATTTATGCTTGCCTTGAGATGGAAGGATAACTCCTGCCTCCAGCCCCTACACAAAATAACAGATTTCATAACGCCAGAGACTCCAACTCCTCCATACCTACAGCAGGTAGAAATGAAGTTCTGATCTTGAGTACACATCTTTTCATAGATTGTAGAAGTCATATTTTATGTCATTTACTGAGGTCAATAATAAAATATAGATGTCACAGGCTGAAAGACGCCAGGAGAAATATGGTTTGGCAGGATGGAGCTGCTTAGGGATACATAAATAATAAGTCAATAAGTAAATAAATAATAGACAAAGACCTATTTTATCTTCCATTTGAAGATCTCAAAGAATTTACAATCTCTGATTGAGACTTGTAATATCCCGTCAGAGGTAATAAGAGCCTCTTCTCTTACACAGGGTAATTTCCATCACTGTAGGTGTGGGTTTAGGAATTAAAGACTTTATCATTTTTATTAAGTCTGAAAATCATGACTGAAAGGGCTCTTGGCCTTTTTAGAGGCAAACAGGGATAATAATGACCTGCTTCATTACCCCTTGTGCTTTCACTGATTAAAAATGCTTGTGAGGGCCCCTATATTTGGAAACACCGTTGTGTTCTGCTCTCAGAACTTGTTGGAGTGGCCAGTTTTGTACTCTCCAGAGTTGCTGACCACAACTCAGCCATCAGAGTAATGGTCTGTGTCTGGGCCAGCAGATTTTAGACTTTAACATTTAATTCCCTCTCTCTAGTATCAGGCAGGCACATTTGTAATGTTGATCAGTTTAATAGTAGTGGTTTTTCTCCTCTTATCAAAGAGCCCTTTCTTTTGGCACTTGAGAAATTTGCTATTTCCTAGTCAGAGACTGCACAAACAAACCTTTGCAGATCCTTATTGCACTCGTCACTCCTTATGCTAAGGAGAAAATGACCCCTCCACATCAGTGTGTGGCACGGGCTGAGGAATGATGCCAATTTTCTTGTTTCCCTCCCCCAGTCCTTCCCTGATCAGCAGGAGGCCCTTGGAGGTGGGCTGAGGAGCTGGCCAAGGCTCCAAAGAGGAGCCACATTCTCCCTGCAGCACTTTGCTGTGCTGAATTGTTGGTCATTCCTGCATTTCTTTGCTTCTCTCTCTCTTTGGGCAGGTCACTGACACACACTCTCCACTTTCTTTTCTACCCTGACATGCTGAGGAGGTCAGGGCAGCAGAGAAAGGCTTGCTCCTCACATGCCACTGAGTACTTCTTTCATCTTTCTTACAGCAAATCAAATTATTAAATGGAGAGCCATACTTTGGAAAAGCTAAGTACAATGTTGTCTTAGGCCTAGCTTTGAATTCCCACATGTTCCCTGGATAGAATTCTTTATTCCTTCTTGTCTTAGGTGCATTTCAATCTCCTTTTCACCCAGCAGACAAACAGAAATGAGTTTGTTCATAAAGGACAGTGCAATTGCATAACAATTTCAAACAGTACTAAAAGAGCTGATACTAAAAGGAAATTCTCTTTTTATATTTCAGAAATTCCAATTTATTCCTTACTTAATTAGATGTTTGTCACATAAATGTCCATTTCTCACTTTTATCTTCATCCTTCATATTCCATCTGGCACACAAGGAAAGGGGGAACTACAAAAGCAGATACAAAGGAAAGGGAGGAAGACAGAAATAATGTAGGCTAATAAAAATTTTGTTGTAGTCATCAAAATGCTGGCTGGGATCTACCTGACTGAAGGTGTGTGGGTAGAATGGAGGTGTTGACCTCAATGCAGCACCAGTCAAGGGCTGGGGATTATTTTGGGGTGAGGTGGCTCCCTGGACACTGTTGAGTTCTCTGTCCATTGTAGAAATTGTCTCCATGGTGGTCCCTCACAGTTACAGAAGGGAATCCCCCTTTATCTTTAACTTTGATGTTTCTCTTTTCATTGGGGATGTTTTCCACAGAATTAAAGGGAGCAGAGTTGTGAGGTTAATGTGGTTACAGGGGAGCCTTTCATGGCAAGGACAAGGGTTTCACATCCATCCCATACCAGCACCCCTGGCATGAGTGCAGCTCTCTTTGGTGGTGGTGTCAGAGCAATAATTCCTGTCCTGTGCTGGAAAGGGATGTGTATAGAAGGGCTGCCCAGCCAGCCCTCAGCGAATGTTTACAGGAAAAGGCAGCAGTTTCCTTGCTGCTGTTTCTGACTTCACGTTTTATCCACATCCTCAGGCTCTTGAGTTTGCTAATGGTTTAATAATGCTAAAGAAAAAGAAGTTATTAATAAAGTGTCATATTATTAAACTGGCAATGAACAAGAGTAAGAAGCAGATTTTAGCTTTTATTTAACTGAAGGTTTTTCATAACATTCATCATGAAATGAATGTTTGCTCATTTGTGTTTGATTTTAGTTAACTTTCCTGCATCTCTCCAATTTTTCCAAATGTGCCAAAGGCTTTTTTTATTTTTCTTCCCTTCTTGTATATTTAAATTTTTCCAAGCCAACACCTGAGTTTCTGTAGGATTTCCCCTGCCTTGCATAGCCTTTATCTGATTGGTCATATGCAGTGTACGAGCACAATCTCTGCACATGGACACCCCTGAAAGACTCCTAGGCAGCAACAAAGACTGTTTGGTGAGAAATAAACAATGATTTACAGATGAGCTTGTGTGCAACCAGATTAATTGGTCATTCTGAAGGAAGAGTGAATCCTCATTTTAAAGGGAGAATTCATGGCACTGTAAGTGGCAGCAGTTGCTGCCTCGTGGTGACAGCTAACAATGGGAAGCACTGTTGGCTAACAAGAGTCCAACCCAATATATTTTGAAGGCCAAGGAACTGGGCAAAGGTGTCACATAATGCAGGAGAGCAAAAGGCTCTGGAGCTGCACTTGTAGTTCTGCTGAAATCAGCTGAGGGTAAAATCGGTCATTGCCAATGGGCTGGTGTACATCACACCTCTGCACCTTCTCTGGAGTGCATTTTCCAGCTGGCTTGTTGGCCCATAAATTCACCAAATTAAACTTCATCCCTGAGAGCAAGCTGGGGGCTTGCTGAAGATCTGAGCCCAGCGTTATTCAGGAGAAATGTAAATGTGATTTTCCAAACGATCTCGCCACTTTGTGCATGTTCATTAAACGAAAACACGTTACTTAAAATAAATGTTCCTGAAGTGAGATGGGGAAAAAAAAACCCCAACAACAAGAAGTGTTAGACTGTTTTTAAATTATCGACCATTTATACTACAATGTAAAATGGATTCGTATGTGCAAATCCAAGTTACATGAAATGTCAATTAAATCAACCCTAATCTCCCAAATACATTTTTTTTATTGCCTGATTGATGAGGGCTGCTCTCAAGGTGATGAATAGTTTTCACTCTTACAAAGGACTGCTGATCCCTTTCTACGTGTCCACTAAAAACACAGAAAATCCTTCAAAATGTCTGGCTCCGCTTGCTTCCAGGATCTAGATGAAGAGAGTGTAGGACACAATGTGGTCTAATATATTAATTGATGTATAAACAATACTGTACATTTAAAAACAAACCAACAACGTAGAAAAAACAAAGCTGCTTAAAACTACAACAGAATTAAACTGTTTTATTTTTCCAGAGGCAAAGCTCTATATAACGTCTTTGTTTTCTTTCCTATAGCAAGTCCACATGCAACACCATCGACTCTTCATTTTCCAACATCACCCATTATTCAACAGCCTGGGCCATACTTCTCACACCCAGCAATCCGCTATCATCCTCAGGAGACTCTGAAAGAGTTTGTCCAACTTGTCTGCCCCGACGCTGGTCAGCAGGCTGGACAGGTGGGGTTCCTAAATGTAAGGAAGCCGTTTTTCTTTCTTCAGAAGTGTTTGTCCTTTGTAAAAATTAATCAGGGGGTTATGGATGGGGTTATTGTAACAGCATGTCGCCTGAAGGAGCGCACCTTGAGGAGTTGCTGGAAGGGAAAACAAACAAACAAACAAAAAATATATAAAATATATATATATATATATAAAATAATAATGTTGTGCTCCAAAAGCATTAAAAAAAAAAAAAAAAAAAACAAGAGACCTCCCCAAAAAACCACTCAACCACATTGTGGTGGAAGCAGCTTAAAGTGTCAGAGAAGCTGGTGCTTCAGTGACCTGCTGGGTCCCCCCACAAATGACTTTGCTGCATGTGTTGTAACCCTTGTGGAACCTGGGTTAACAAAATACAAAGGCAGAATAATTTTTATTAATTATTTTTGAAGTTCAGGGGAGAGTGGGGGGGAAAGAGCAGGAAAAGGGAGGGTGAGAAACAGATGTTTCAGATCAGCTAAGTTCATTAAAAAAAAAAAAAAAGATACTGCCTTATAGCACTTTAGATCAAGTTGACCAGTACTTGAACTCAAGATGTTAAAAGTACAGTTTATTATGGTTTGTTATTTCTGTAAGCAGTTATCTTTTCCCCTTATCTCTATGAAAAATTAAGCAGAGTTCCAAAGCTTCAAATAACCATTTTCATTTTTTTTTAATCAAATAAAGTGAATCATCTTGCTATTATTGAAATAGCATTCTGGACGAATACAGAATTTATAAATTTTATGTAAATCAAATCTAAAATAATGCTCTGAATATTTCATGAAATGTAATGCATGTAACTTTTTCCAGCCAATGAAGTAATAACTGGGAAAATTACTGCTTCTCTCCTGACATACTGAAAGTGTTAATGAGAATTAGTTTAATTATTAGCATCTAATTTATTACACTTATTTAATAAGCTGCATTGTTCTCAGTGTTTTCCTTTCCCCAGCAGAAAAACTGACTCTACTTATTCCAGCCAGTCCTGGCTTTGAATAATGTCTGCAATATGTTAGCAGATACATTTATGTCTAGACAACAAATCAATACAGTGCTTTTCTTTTTCCTTGAGTATTCATTTGCTTAATTTATCCCAAACCATTCAGCATTATGAACTGTTAGCACACTCACAATGAACAGGCAGCAGGGGTCTTCTTGGCAGGAAAGGGACCTAATTGGGAGACAAGATAGTGTTTGAGAGATGTCACTAATATATTAGTTTATTAAAGGTGCTGGATGTTGGAAAAATAAACATCCCTGAAGGATTGCTTCTTGCTGCAAACTCCAGCAACTGCAGTCTTGGAAGTCTGTGGGAGTGCTGTTAAGTTAAATGCAGATGAACTTGAGTCTTACCTTATCCCCTGAACCATTTTTTGCTCTGGCACAAGTGTGATTTGCACCTCCACAACTTTAAGGCCTTTTGTCAGTGCCAGTGCAGGTGAAATGAAAATAGAGTCCCAAGTGTTTTGCCAGGATGGGTATTTTGTCCCTGGCAATTCAGGCTAATGGAAACCCTATCAGGAATTAAAATATTATTTTCTTTAGCAGTACTTAGAATATGGAGCTGTGTTTAAAGCTGAGCTTTTATCATCAATGGAAAAGCCAATGTTCAGTGCCAGAAGAGCTGCAGTGAGATCAATTTGTAGAGTGCTGTCGAAAATGATCTCATCATTTTTGTCACTAAAATGGAACACCTGATTCACAGCCTGTCCTACTTTCTCTTTATAATGGTATTTGGCATCTCTCTGTATGGTTTTCAAGTGTCCAGGCTGGGTTACATTTAAAATGTAAACTTAATAAGCTGGGGGGAGGGTTGGCATGTTTTTCTAAGCCTGATTCCTGTTTTTGTGATACTTGAAAACACTTTTACTTAGGGACACATTTTTCTGGTGATTAATTGAAAGACCACACTCATGTAGCTGATCCCCTTCAGCCTGTGACTGACCACATCCCAGACTGAAGGGAGGGTGGTTTTTTTCTCCCAGTGTGTAAAATGAAGCTGTTCTAAGTTCACTCATTTCTCCATATGATCCTAATGGCAGCTAAACCAAGAGCTACACTATTGCTAACTCAAACGGGATGTGGGAGAGCAGTTATTTTAATATACACTCATTCATTTTCCTGTAATGAGATATCAGCGTGATTTTTAAGACCACCAAAAACGCTTGTTTTTTCTCTTAATGAGAAGTATCTTTAAGAAATTTACACTCAAGTCCTAGACACTGATATGCTGAGGGTATAGCACAGGCACGAAACTGGGGGATTTTAGGGGTCAAAAATACTGCTTCACCTCTCACTGAGCATGGGTTAGTGCTGCAGGACATGTAAAGAGGAGTAGGATTTAATCTAGGACAATTTAATCTTATTTCAGACAAGCTGCTAATAGGACAAGTGTTTAAAAGCCAGAATTTCCATAGTTTCACAAGGTTCACAGAGTTTGACACAAAGCTCCTTGAAGTCCATGGAGAATTTGAGCCAGCACTTTCTTTGCCACCTCTCAAGTAACTGTAAATGTATTGCACAGAGTTTTGAACTAGATTTGTTTTTACTGGAGGTTCCTAATAGCTGATTTTTAGTATAATTTCTGTCTGTTTGCTTGTTTCTCGGCAGCCCAATGGTAGCAGCCAAGGCAAGGTGCACAATCCATTCCTTCCTACCCCAATGTTGCCACCACCACCTCCGCCACCAATGGCTAGGCCTGTGCCTCTGCCAGTGCCAGACACAAAACCTCCAACCACATCAACAGAAGGAGGGGCCACCTCTCCCACTTCTCCAAGTAAGTATAGACGCAGCGGGATCCACAGCTGGGCAGGGATAAGGCCTGCACACACCTTGGGAAGCAGGAGAGCTCTCTGCCCTCCACCATGGACAAAGCTCTGAGCTGCTCCTGTGTGAGCGGGGAAAGCCTTAGCCCAAGGTTGCAGTTTTATTTTTGACTTGGTTGGCATTTCACGTAACCACGTGCGAGGGAAATCGAGGCCGGTGGCTCAGCTGTGACACAGAGCTCGGATCTTTGGGGTCTTGTTTGCTGCCATGAGGATTTGAGTTGATATCCCATCCCTGGAAGTGCTCAAGGCCAGGCTGGACGGGCCTCTGAGCAGCCTGATCTAGTGGATGGTGGCCCTGCCCGTGGCAGAGGGGTTGGAACTGAGTGATCTTTAAGGTCCCTTCCAACCCAAACTATTCCATGGTTCTGGGATAAGTTGGTGTCTCAAGCCAGGCTTTAGAGCACAGATCCCACATGGAAGTCAGGCAATCTCCTTGAGAACATCCCTGCTTATACACACTGGGCTAAACTAACAACCCTTTCCAGTTTACTTCAATTGCCATTCTTTTGGGAATAAATCTTCCCGGATTAAGCCAGACATCTTTCCCTTATGCCGTGCATCTTAGGCAAGAAGTTTTGGTATGTCTTAGGGCCAGGGAGAAAGCTCTAATCCTCTCCCACCACCCACACAGCTCCCATATGCATTTTGTGTAGCCACAAGTCAAATTTACGAATTCCTGGATACACACTTGGGGATGCCACTTTGGAGTCACTCTTCTGGGAAACAAATGCAATTCAGCTGTGTCTGATGCTTTAAAAAAAAGTCTGGATGTTCAGGGAGTTAATTGTGAAATGATTTAATGAAGCTATGCTCAAACTGACATTTAAAAACAAAAGGGAAGCTTTCAGTGCTTTAATGGCAACTGTAGGGGACTTGTTCCACAGTGAAGGGAGTCCAAATAACATCCACAAACAAAAATCAATCTAATCGAAAGAGCAAATCCCTTTGTGTGCTTTTCAAGCTTATTATTTAAATGCTATATGCAACCACTGCTTGATGTGCAGAGAGGTACTCACTCTTCAGACCAAGCAAAGCCTACATTTTTAAAGCTTTATATACTGTTCAGGAGACTTGCACAGGTTCCAGGGGGCATTTTTAAAATCTGGTAGTTCCTCAGAGGTTTTCATTGCCTTCTGCTACACGATAGTGCATCAACTGCAAACTCAGCAAGATGCTCTGGCTCGCTTGGAAATTGAAATGGGTTTTAGTATGAGACAGTCTGGTAAGATTGTGAACACGATCTTCTAGAATCAGGACTTCTCGAATTGATCAGCAGATTTTTGTTGAGTGCAGAAGTTGATTCATTCCCTCCCCTCCGCTCCTCTTCCTGACCTTAGACCAACACTGGTGCTGTCAGGAAGCTTTGACACTTTCTGAGGGGACTTTTGAGTCCTATCAATGAGATTCAGCGGTGGGATCTAAAAGGTTAATGTTTAGTCATAGTTATCACTGAGCACAGTCAGCAGTGCCTTACTATTTCCTTGCCTTCAGAACCGGGAAAAACAAAACTAGGTCAGTGTGTACTTGTCATTACGGTTGTGACTCAGTTTACTGGCAGTGTTTGGTGTCAAAAAGAAAAGAAAAAAATTCCCAACAACATTTTAGCACTAATCTTAATTTTTATGATACTGTGATTGTGTAAACAAGCTCAGAGTGTGTCTGGCCAGATTCTCAGCTGGCAGAAAAATGGGTATTTCTCCTCTGAAGGGAGCAGGACACCCATCGGTGTCTGCTTGGGGCTGGTCACTGGGCTCTGTGTTCAGCAGACAGCTGCCACGTTAATTGGGAATGGAGGTTTTCTCAAGAGCAGCCAGTTAATGGTATTTAAACAAAAGATTAGGAAAATAATTACTGTTTGTTAATTAGCCACGCTGATGACTAAACATATAGTTCTGTACATATTCAGGCACGCATCTTCCTTTTGGTGAGGGGTTTGAATAACAGTGACTCAAGTTGTAAACAAGCATATAATTTAATTTAGGGAAAAAATTTTACAGAAAAGTAGATTATAGGAAATATTTTCTAAGAAAAACTATGACATGTAAAGCAAAGCCAGTGGAAGCATTGGCCACATAAAGAGGAAAGCAAACTGAAGTTTGAGGCGTCGCAGGCAGGGTTTGCCAGGAGGACCCACTGGGCTCCATTCAGTGTGTCAATCAGGACCAGCCCTCCATTTCCCTCCGTGTTTATTTTTTCCTTAACTAAATATTAGCCTTCAAACAGCGAGTGCAGATTCACCAGAGTTCCATAAAAGCCTCACAAAAAGGTGTTTTCCATGGTTACGAGCTGCTGGAGCGCACCGGTTCTGGGAGTGTCGCCGGGCTATGGCTGACTGCCCCGCAGGGCTTGAGGATATTGGAAAGTCACTAATGCAACAAAGGCAGGAGTGATGTTAAATTTTGGCCAGACTCTCTCCTTAGCCGTGTGGAAGAGAATGATCCCCCCTCCTCCCGAGGAAATGGAGTGAAAGGGGTTGGCATTTGCTCCATTCTCCTTCCCTTTTTTGGTCTAGCAGAAAGCCCTCAGCAGAAACAAAATGCAGTCACGGCCCAACCAAAAATTGGAATATGGCCCTCCTGAGGGGTGCAGGAGCCAGGAGCAGCTGTTCAATACAGCAAGGCCTCCTGGGAGCAAGAGCTAAAAATCACAACAAGGTGGTTAATGATTCTCAGAGCAATAGTGAAACTCTCCAGCTGTGACATTAACCAAAACATGAACATTAGTGCTGTCCAAGGAAGGAAGAGCCCCTGGAGATGCACACTGGGGATTTGCCACTACTGGGTGGCCAGGCATGCTCTGGGAGCTGGCAATTTCAGCTGTGAATCCTGTCCCTTTGGAAAGCCAGCATTTTCCTCAGTCAGACGGCACAGTGGAGATGGGATTCACGAGGTTTGGGAGGTTCAGTTTTCCTCCACAAAACCTTTTTCAATGGAACATAATCTTTGATATCAGAAGACCCAACATTATCTTATCTCAGATCTCTTCTTGATTTTCTTTGGTTGGTAACCCATTACAAACACAACACAGTATTTTCTTGAACTTGGCAGTTTTGGGGTTTTATATCTCACTGCCCAAAGCAAACACCATCTCCACAACATTCCAGTTGGGCTTTATCACTATGATAATTAAATCATTCCAGAGCAGCCTGAGATACTGCCATCCTGCACACCCTGACTTTTAAACAGCTTTTTAAAACAAAGTACTATTTTCTGAGATTCACAACTCTTAACTTAAATGAACTCATTACTTGTTAATGTCCCTTTGAACAAAAGAGTTTTCTTGTTAAATGGCATTTGTGTCAGGATGAGGAGAATGATCTTGTGGCTGTAATACAGGACTCATAAAGCCAAGTGCCAGGTCCTGCCCTTGGGTCACAACATCCCGTGGAGCTCTCCAGGCTTGGGACAGAGTGGCTGGAAAGCTGGAAAAGGACTTGAGGATGCTGGTCAGCAGCAGCTGAACATGAGTCCACGTGTGCCCAGGTGGCCAAGAAGGCCAAAGGCACCTGGCCTGGATCAGCTCTGGTGTGGCCACAGGACCAGGGCTGTGACTGTCCCCTGTGCTGGGCACTGGTGAGGGCACACCTTGAAGTGCTGGAGAGTGTCCAGGGAAAGGAATGAATCTGGGGAAGGGTCTGGAGAACAGGAGAGGCTGAGGAGTTGAGGGGGCTCATCCTGGAGAAAAGAGGGCTCAGGGGGGACCTTTTGGCTCTGCACAACTCCTGACAGGAGGGGACAGCTAGGGAGTAGTAGGGCTCTGCTCCCAGGGAACAGGGACAGGACAAAAGGAAATGGCCTCAGGTCACACCAGGGGAGGTTTAGGTTGGATATTGGGAAAAACTTCTTCAAAACAGGGGTCAAGCACTGGAGCAGGAGCAGTGGTGGAGTCCCTATCCCTGGAGGGATTTAAAAGCCCTATGGATGTGGCACTTGGGGACATGGGTTAGTGGTGGCCTTGGCAGTGCTGGGGTAGGGGTTGGACTCAATGATCTTAAAGGTCTTTTCCAACCTAAATATTTCCATGATCCTGCAATCAGATTGGCTTTCTCTCCCTTCCTCTGCTATGCACTGACTGAGCACCTTCTGGGTGAATTTGAGCTCTCTGTTCACTCCTTTCCCCATCCATAAAAAAGAGGGCTGACTCTATCACTCAATTTGCTAAAATTTGCAGTTCCCTCTCAGATCCTCAGCTGCAGAATGCACTGCAGTGGGAATTGTTCTACTGCACTACATTCCTCCAGTTAATCCTCTTGCTGCAGCTTGAGAAACAGGACAACTCTTCACATCAAACACATGTACCTGTGTCATCCTGGTCTGTAAAAGGGAGACCTAGTGGAACATTAGGTCATCATTCACCCAAATTATCTTTACCAATCCTTTTAATCCAGAACGATGACAAATTACACACTCCTGCTCTCAACAGCAATTATTTCAGGACAGTATATTTAAAAGTAACATTTCCCTACTGCAGGCAACTTTAAAACACACAACATCCCCAAAACTGTTTGTTTGTCTTGTCTTTCATACAATTTCTTGCCATTTTGGCTAAATATCAAAGCTGTCTGTGTGAGCAAATGTTCTTTCTCTGCCAGCTCCTGTTTTGCTTGTTCCTGAAGTGAAGCATCATAGCAAATTTGTGGCATCACATTCATTTCCTTGGCTGTGGGCTATGATGTTGCAGACAATCCTTAGTGTATTCCAGTAGCAGAAAGAGCAGGCTGGGCAGGAAGCTGTTGCTGTTCATGCCCAACAGGACCCCTCTCAGCTGGTGTGAACCCCAGGGTAGGTCTCTGCAATTCCCATGGAGCCAAACTGATAAAATCTGGAGGAGATCTGCCTAAGAGACCTGGCTGCTGTTCCTTGTTCCTTCCCATGCTTAGGCTTTCCCCAAATTGGAGTTTGAAGACCCCAGCATAGGCTTAGCTTATATTTATGCTATATTACAACATGACCCAGCTTTATCCAGTGAGACAGTTTGCCCCATCCTAATTCTGGGGCAAAGTTTAGGGATCAGACTTCCAGGAATCCCACCTCCATGCCAACCAAGGGCGTTTATCTGAAGACAGTAAGATGCAGCTGGAAGTTGATCATGGTCTAAGCAACACTCAGTACTTCTCCCTTTCCTGAAACAAATCTCCCCCTAACAGGGGAATGTGTATTCCATGTCAGCTTAATATTCTGCGCCAAACTGGCCCCTTCCAACCCATAAACATCCCAGGACATTTTACAGCAAAGAGGGAACAGCACCTTGGGAGAGTCCAGTGTAAATCCTCTGCATATTTGTCGTTTTGGTGCTCTTCCCTCCTTGGCTTCAGCAGTGCAGTTCTATGGCCTGAAGGAAATACCAAGCTGACATCCAAGTATTTTCAGAAAGCAAGTTAAACATGGTTTGGAGCGGAAGGAAGGTGTACATAGCAACTCACCCAGCGAGCTTTGAGGGGACTTTTGTGCATATTACACACTTTTCAAATGCTTTCGAATTTTTTGTTTGAACAGAGAAGCCATTTAAGTCAGGATTCTGCTGGTTCCCCTTTGATTTTCTACCAAATATCACAGCAAAAGTATCTGCCAGCAGGGAACTGTAAACAAGATCTTGAGTTCCTTCCCTTCTGGGTGGAACTTACCTGCTCCAAGGGATTAAATGGCCTCTCCACTCAATCTGCTTCTTTAAAAGTAGACCAGGAGAACCAAACAACAGATGTTTGGTTTTTGAGCTCTAAGTTAGTTTTCCCCACTGTAGAAGGAATTCTTAGTCTTGCACAATATTAGTTCATTAGTTAGTTTAAAAAAAAAAAAACCTCCACAAAGGACAGCGCAGAAGAATCTTAATACAAGGCACTAGCAACAGGGAAATGTCCTTTGCAAATGTGTGGTTTCTTTGAATTATTAACCAAATTAACATGGTGAAAGGTGATGAGAACATCTCACCAGATCTACTCAGTAAATTTCTTCCTTGATTTGCAGGTAGGAGTAACATCCCCCTTACCTGTTCATAGTATTCAAGCTGCACCACAATTTGCAAAATCATCTCAGGAAGATGAATTAGTGCACATTAAAATTCCTTTAAGACTTTGTGAAGGAGAAGTGTTCCTTGCATGATTTTTGCAAGTGTTAGCTTCTTGGAGAGAAAAGCTCACCTCACCAGAAACAAGTGGGAAAAATTCCTTCTTAGAATCCAGGAGTGCCTTATCTCCCCTCATATCAGTAGGAAATGAAGATATGCAGTTCCTGGGGTGATTTCAGGGTATCTTGATAAAAGGGAGTATTCTGATGAAACTGTGAGAGCTAAGAGGCATCACAAGACGTTTGTGAGACTTGAAGGATGAGGTTCTGCATGCTCCTAGACTTGGGAACTCATCACCCAAGGGCTTTTTGGGAGGCAGAACATCCACAAGGGTCCAAGTGCAGATTGGGCATTGGGTGAGAAATCCCTCCAGGGCCTTAATACAGGAAGTCCCTGAGCTGAAAATAATCAGAGGTGGGAAAGAATGGGAGAAAGTAAATATGTGACCTGTTTTGGTTGCATCTGCTTACGACTTCTAAGAGAGGTGACAATGGCCAAGGTGGAGCATTGGTCTGATTTGGCACAGCCTTAAACCAAAGGCTCCCCCAGTGTAATTCCTCTTCACCAAGCATTTGCTTTCAGAAAGGTAAAAGAGTTTCCCCCACACAGCCAACTCCGTGTCCTCTCTGAGTCTTAACTCACTTTACTTTTCTGTAACATTGAGGCCTCAACATTATATTTAGCCTGACTGGAATTTGGCAAGGAACTTTCCTTTTACTATTGTTTTTTTTTTTGTCTCTTCATCGGATAGTTAGGTTGTCTGGGGATTTTATTCAGCAGAATGCATTCCCATAAATATATTCAAAATAGATAGGAGCCCTCTTTGTATTAAGGCATCTATTTGCGTTATTTGAATTTAGATCTAAACATGCAAAAAACTGAGGAAGAGAGAAGATTGCTTGAGGGTTTTCAAATGAGAGGAAGACTAAAAATGCATTGAAAGCTTTTGGATGTGGAAGTACGTGGCATTGTGGACAGTTGCAGTGGAGAATATAATGCAACAATAAAATCATTAAAGTACTTCAAGTTTGGAAGTAATCTGGGTTCTTGGCTTGCATTGCATTTAATAGCTTTACATTTATGGGAGCCACTCCAGTTTTTAAAGGCAGCTTCAGCCTTCAGACTGATTGCACTTACCACCCCAGTGAAACTGCAACCCATTAATTTTTTACCGAAAGGATCTCCCTAGTTTGTCAAACACATCAAGTGAACATTTTAGAGAGTGCAGACCACAGCAGTATGAAAACCAAAACTTTATATCCAGAGAGAATGCTGGATTAGCATGAAATAAAGGGTCTGATTCTGTTAATGAGCACTTAGGTAATTTCATTGCTATACAAAACTCTGTTAAAAATAGAGATACCAGACATTCGAGTGAAAACAGTCAGGACCTGCAGAAATCTCCTGTGCCAGCCCATCATGGAAAGGCCTGCAGTGGTTCTGCCCACCCTCCCCTGAGCCCACGTTTGGGGCCATGCCCTCTCCCAGCAGCCCAGTCCCCTACGTGTTGATCCCCCCACCATTAAGCCCAAACCTTTCCAGTGTCTCAAACCAAACTCTCGCTCTCTAAAACGTTCGCACATTTCTATGTCAAACATCTGCTTAGGTGGCTCTGAGACAGTGTGTTTTGGTGTTGTTCGTGTGCAATCTAGTGCCGCTTCCTCAACGCATGTGTCCCTTCCCTTCACAGCCTACTCGACACCCAGCACCTCCCCCGCAAACCGATTCGTCAGTGTTGGACCACGGGATCCAAGCTTTGTAAATATCCCTCAACAGACTCAGGTGGGCCGCTTTCGACTTCTCTGTTTGCCTGCAGCCTCTTCTCCTCCTCCTCCTCCTCCTCCTCCTCCTCCTCCTCCAGTGTCCTCTAACGTGTCCCCGCGGAGCAGCTGCACTGCCGCTGTCACTTCACCCACATGGTCTCAGTAACTACAGTGAAATGTCACTTGCACTTTGTTTGTCTGTTGTGTTTTTTTTTCCTTTGTTTGTTTTTGTTGTTTTTTTTTTTAATTTATTTTTGGGGCTTGTGTGGTGATAACGCTGCTTTCATGACTGGAAGGACCTCTCTCTGCTTTCTAAGGTGTTGGCTCCCAGCGCGCAGTTGTTTGCTCTAGGGCCGGGGTTTCAAAGGCTTTGGCTCCAACCTGCTCCCCAGGCACTGCATTTAATTGTGTTCAGATTAGATGATAGGCAAAAATCCTTCCCTGCCAGGGTGGGGAGGCCCTGGTAAAGGTTGCCCAGAGAAGCTGTGGCTGTTCCTGGATCCCTGGGAGTGTCCAAGGCTAGGTTGGACAAGGCTTGGGGCAATGTGGGCTAGTGGAAGGTGTCCCACGAAACAAGATGATCTTTAAGGTCCCTCCCAACCCAAACCAGTCTGAGATATGCAAAAGGAGCTCAGAGAGACCCATCAGGTAACAGTGCCCTGTAGTCCCCCAGCAGTGACTGCTCCAGTGACTTCCATGGGAAAAAAAATACTCAAATTCCTGGTTGGCCATTTGCATGGTGGGCTTTGAGCGAGCAGGAGATTTTTGTGATTGTGAGCACATCTGTTTTCCTTATGCAAAGAGAAAAAAGTCCAGTTGAGGCAGGCCTATAAAGCTGGGTTAGCTGAATTCATGGTCCTGCTATGGTCAAATCAGAAGCTCAAGTAAACATTTGTGTTTCTTTAGGAGGAGGACGAGATTTAAATGTGCTTTTTCCAAGCTGTATCAAATTCCCAGGGTCGATTAAGAAAATAGTTGTTGGCAGTTTTGTTAGCAGCTAATTTGAGACAGATGTTGAAAAAATTAAGTCTGGGCTTAATATCACGTTATCATGGGGGGGAAGGTATAAAAAAGTGAGCAGAGTTAGTGCTTTAGGACAACTGTTGTTTATAGTTTGAAGTGATTGCTTGACTACGTTGCAATTCTTTTAAAGGTCAACTACACGAAATATTTGTGATTCTGTTTTGAGCTGGTTGCAGTGACTAAAAAGCAATAATTCAAATAACTGGCAAACTGGGCATTACTACCCTTGGCTCTTGTAAGTTCTTTCAAATGGTTTATAGGCTTCTGAATAATTAGTGTGCAGATTAATGGCTGTCACATGCCACAGTAGGTGCATGAAGACAGACTCCTCGTTGTGATGGCTTCAGCACCTCCACTGTCACTGAAACACAGGTCACTCATTCCCAAAGATTTCCAGTTTACAGGGCTGCAAGCAGCTGCCTGTGAGCACAACGTGGTTTTTTTGCTGTCTGCTCTTTGTGTACAATTTGTTAGGGGCTTTAGTTTATAGCTCTGTGCACAGCACAGGTTAAACTATATCGAATCTCAAACCTTCTCTGCATTAAATAGGGTCACAGAAAGTACAGCAGCAATGCAGAGAGGGGTTTAACCCATCAGATTCTGGGGTTTTTTTTTCATGCCTTGACAAAACTCAACCTGCACCCCACTTTTCCAGCCTTGTGCTTTTATGGGGTTCATGGGTGTGACAAGTTCTCATGCACCTTCCCATTTAAATCATATTTCTCCAGTTGTTTTGGAAACAACTGGAATACACAGAAATACACTGAAATCAAGAAACAGGAATGTTAAGGTGTGCTGCTAAAGTCCTTAAGCATTTGGTCTTTTCCTTCATAGCTCAGGAAACCTGAAACCCTTTGGAGAATGCTACTTACCTTTTCCAGAAGACTTGAAAAACTCCTAGTTGGTAAATTGATTATGTAGTAAGACACAACAGTATTAAGTCTCCAAAGATATTTAAAACTTACTTGCATCCTGCAGCCTAAGTTTCCCAGATAAGTTTGTTGACTGTAAACTTTTATCCTCCTTATTTATGACTTAAATCATTTTAAAGTGCTCTAGCGTTACTTTAAGTGCTCCTCAGTAATGCAGTGTAGTGAATAACAATGCTGTACAGTGAAAAACAATACTCAAGCACAGCTTTCAATTAAAGTCTAACATGCTGCAGTGGGCAAGGAGACTGACTTCCAGTCTCTGACTCCAGCTGCATCTCCCTGCTTCTATACATCATTACACCACCACAACCCACTTGATACTAAATATATAATTTATCAGCAAACTCACTACTTATTCATGAAAGAACTCTGAAGTTGACTGTGCTTTGAGTCAGAGAAGTGAGGTAGAAGTGCTAACTGCAATGATTTGGGATTTATGTAGCATTCCTCTAAACAAAGACAGGCTTTTGTGCTCCTTTTTGCAGAGCATTAGTGTATAGAACGACCACTTAGGACATTTTCAAAACAAAAATGTAAAAACATATAGGACTGCATTATTAAAAGCAGCTGGGGTGGCTCCTTTCCATCAGGGTCTTTAGAGTACATCCAGAGCCAGGCTAAGATACAGGTCCTGAGGACCACTAACAGCCAGAGACACAGTTCCCTGAGATAGGAGGAAGCAGGAAACACTCTGAGCTTCTGGAAGTCAAGCTTAAATATAAGGGTTAAGTGACTCTTTGCTGCTGGAACAATAAAATAAAAATGAAGGCTGTATCTGAACATCTGCTTTTTAAAAACTATGGTCCAGCTACAACCCATATGAAAATATTTTGGTCAGATTTTTGGTGGCTCTGATGTTCTCTTGGTGGAACACTGCACTAGAAGCACTAGTTACACATCATCATCATCATCATCATCATCATCATTAGTCTTCAAGTGCTACAGAAGTGAGTCTGTGCACAGGGATGTGGCAGCTCCACGGAGCAGGAGTCACAGTTCCCATACATGGGCATTCCCAGAACATTGGAATAAAATCCCAGGCAAATGTACAATGGGCTGGGGCAAGGATCATTCTGTCCTGGGCTGTTTCTAAACAACCAAACCCAGTACATGCCTTTCTGAATCATTATTAGAAAAAATATCAGTAGACATTTCCATTAGCACTATGTTCTGATTTATGTCACCTTGTGGCAAATATAACCCCTTAAAGGAATTTTATAGAGTTTATATAATATTCATTAAAAAGCCATCTTCCTGTGTCAACAAAGGTTGCAACAGGACAACCAGAAGAGATGGGAAATAAACTGCTTTAAGTCAGTAGTTCTGATTTGGTAACAAAAGCCCCAAAAGGGCTGTTGGCTTTGCCTGGTTTTAGCAGTTTCCAAACTTTTCAGTTGGTTTGGTTTTGCATCTGCTGCTTACACCATCCATCACTCTGCCACTCCACTCACTGCACAATTGTCCTGTCTTGGGGGTTATTTGAATCTAAATTTCTGTTTGAGCTATTAGAAGCAACACTTGACTTGGCATCCCCTGTATATGTTGACAAAAAGGCACAGGTGTTGTAACCTTTGCTTGATAAATCATTTACTTTTGCTACTTGACTTGCAAGCAATATGGGGGCATCAGCTTTTTAACTGCCTATTGCATATGCAAATCAGAAATACAGGATGCCTGGGGTACAGGGGGCTCTGGTTTCAAAAGCAAGTTGGTCTGGATAGCTCATGACTAAGTAATAGATACGTCTCTCATATTGCCAAGGACTTGCAATACAGAGAGGTGGAGGGATGGGAAAGTCCCATCACATTAATTAGGGACGAGCCTCTCGGTGGCACCGAGGTGAATAAAGGGGGCTGCATTTTGAGGTGGTTTTTCCCTAAAATTAATAGTGAAACACAGGCTATGGGCTGGGAGTGCATGCAGCTGGGAATGCCAAACCAGCAGCCTGTGGCCAGGGTTTGCCACTCACCACTCCACATGCTGTTTGCTGCTCTCTAATGCCCTGGCTTTGCTCTAGGGTACAAAATTCCTTTAGGGATCCACGTGCTCTGTACTCATCGTGCTGCAGCTCCACTTCACACTAAACATTGTTTACTATGCTGAGTCCTGTTTGCCACCTACTTAGCCTACATCTTCCTGGAAATTGTACTTGGGATGCTAAAAACAGCTCCTGAGAAACACATGCCTGCTCCATCTAATCGCTCCTACCTGCCACTGGCCCATGTGCCCTGCACAGGGAGGTTGTGAGGATGCAGGGAACAGAAACTGCCTCCTACTGCAGGAACCCAGGCAGAGAATCAACCACTTTACCCTGTGAGAAAGTGAGTCCTGTAGCCCTGACCAGCTGTTTCAGGAAAAATCCCTCTCAAGTGTAAACATGCTTTATATCAGATCCATCCCAGGTAGTTTCTAAAAACTTAGTTAAGCACAAACTCAAATATTTATTCCCTTGGCTTTCTGTAGGAAAAGATAAAACTTATTTCTAGGAGGACAGAAGTAGAAGCTCTTCCTGGTTCTGCCTTTGCACAATCCCAAAGCACAGTCAGATCCTGGATAATAAGCAAAGGCCTTGTGTTTTCACACTTTCCCTGGTGGGGCCCTAGAGCCACCCAGCTACAAGAGAGCTCTAGCTAGAGCTCATCCTTTATAGCACAAAACAACTGAAACAAAAGGCCTGTAGCCTGCCTAGAACACTGAAATAAAGTTTAAGAAAAGAAAAACCCCAAAAGTCAAACAAGCTTATGTAGGCAGTAAAATAACAGGTATGGAAACCAGCAAGCTCAGCAGAACAGCCTTATAAAGACCAGGTACAAAAATGCACCCTGTGAAATACATCTTTAAAAGAGCAATATTAACTTAGGAGGGAAATCACTGAAGTTTAGCAAAGTGTTTATAGTACAAGGAAATTGCTAACTCCTTTAGATCTTCTCCTGCTCCCTGCCCTTCCCAAATGAGACAGTGGTATCTTTGTAGCTTTCTCCTTTTGGGCTTTTATTTATCTCTAAAAAAACCACCATATGCCTCAGGTGCATCCACAAACCTAATTGTACAATTACTTTCTTTC